TAAATATTTACATATTTTGTATTTATCATATTTTTTATCATATTTTTTTTATAAGTAAAATATAATAATTTGAATATTCTATTGATGCAAAATATTTTGCTTCTTTTTTCTTTTTTGTAAATTATTTATATTCATTATTTCTTTGATAATTTTTATGACAGAAATATTATGTTATTATTGTTATTATATCTCAAGTTAAGAATATAGAATTATTTTATATTTCAAATTTATTTAGAATATTTCACTTTAATATTGTTATTATTATACATTGAAATATTAATAAGAATAAAATATATTAAAAATACAAATAGATATTCTTAAACTCATAAGAATATTAATCAATAAAAACATGAAATAATTAATGTTATACAATATTAATTCATATAATATAATAGAAAACAACATAAAATCACAAAACAACAAACAAATAACAAATAGAAACAACATGAAGAAAAAGAAATAAATACTTCTTAATAAACATAACAACAAAATATAAATATTTCTATTATTTGACATTTTTACACTCTCTTACTTCTGTTTATTTGTTTATTTTGTTTGTACCAACACTTACTTCTTGTTGTATTTCTTCCACCAGTTTATTACTATTTATTATATAACTTATTTATTTACTATTTTCCTGTTCATATTCGCTTTATTCCATTTTGACTGTTTATAAATTTATTATCCTTTTTAATTCCTTTTATGCATCTTTTTTTTACTTCTTATTTATCAATATAAATGGATAAAATAGTTAATACTTCATCTTTCAATTTGTATTATTAAATTTCATCTTAATTGATAGTATCTTTGTTGATATTTTTCATTTATTTTCTGTGTTATGCTTGTCTCTTATTTCTTGTGTTACATTATATTATTTCAGTATTCAAAGTTATATTTTATTATCACCCAGTTGTTTTCTATTCTACTTTTAATTTCTGTATATTTCTCTTTCCCTCACTTTCAAAACCAAGAGTTGTTAAAATGAATAGTAACAGAGAGTATAGTTAATGACTAACACTCTTAACGAAATTGATTCAAGTAGTCACATACTCTTATCAAACCAGTACAACTAAAAAAAACAAAGAAAATAAAACCCAAATGCTAAAGGAAAGAATGAGCTTTAATAAGAAAAAAGAAAATGATAAATCAAATAGTATTAAAAATTGTTGAATTACTTCTGTTCTAATAACCAAATTGAAAAACAGAATAATTTTTTTAATTATCAAAATATCCTAGTTGTTTCATAATGGCATATTGTTCTGGAATTTCATTCATTGCTGCACATGCAAATGCAACGTCTGGATTCTCTACATGTCCTTCACAGACTTTATAATAATTAACAAAATTGAAATTATCAAATTTAGCATTCTTAACAACATCATCAAAATTCTCCATTACACCAAATGGTCCATCTCCAACACCAACACAAATAATAGAAATTGGATATTTTGAAGCTTCTTCAATAGCCTTTCTATTCACATCAACATCACTAACTTGTCCATCACAGATAATGACAAGAATATGATATTGTTTTGTTTCTTTAACAATTTCTATAGCTTTTTTAATTAATGGAGCAAATGAAGTTGGACCTGACAATGTAAGAGAAGGAACAGTTTTTTTATATTGTTCAATTGCAGCAGCCATTCCTAAAAATGGTTTATTTTCAGGACTTAAATCAAAAACAGCTTTTCCTTGAGTTCTTTTATCACCAAATCCAAAAACTGGAATAAGTCCATCATCATCATAAGGTGCAAGTGCTCTTCCCATAATATCCATTACTCTCATATAAGGATTAGGATTTGATGGGTCAATAGTATGCATATTTCTTCCATATGTTTTTTTACCTGATGAAGCATTAGAACCAGTAAAATCAATTCCAACAATTAAATTGGATGATTCTAATCCAGCTTTAGTAAGTGCTGTTTGAAGGTCTTCCAGAGTTTCATATGTAGTCATAATTGGATCAGTTAATCTTTTTTGAGGAGTTGCTTGTTCGTTTCCCATGAGTGAAGTATTTTAAGATTTCAGTAAAACTCAAAAAGAGATATAACAATACGTTTTTTTTTTTTTTACTTTTTCACAAATGAGGAATATATCTTTTTCTGAAAGAGCCATTTAAGAAAATTTCATTGAATTTTTATTCTATTTTTTTTTTTATTTTTTATTTTATTTTACTTAATTTTTATTATAATAAAAAGTTAAAGAAAAATAACGAAATTAAAAAATTGTTATTTCATGTCTTGTGACAGAGTAAAACAAATAATTACGCTCTTTCAACAACAATCTCCAGTTCAAGCTGCTGAAACTGTTTTTAGAAGTATTCTTACAAATGAAACAGATCCAGCATGTCTTCCAATAATGACAACAATGACAGCGTTATATAGTGCTATTCAAAATATTGATGTTAATAAATATGAAAGTAAAGAATTAACACGATATGTATATAAATTAGTATCAGTGAATTGTCGTTTGTTATTACAATACAATGAAATAAAACAATCAAATAATAAAGTATTAAATAATTATTAATTTAATAGAAACTATTAAAGCAGCAATTATTTACAAAGAACCACAACTTCTTAAATATGAAGAACCTTTATTAATTGGAGTATTAGATAATGTAGCGAAAATGGTTGGACCAAAACATTATGCATTATTTCTTCAAAAAAATAAAGAAAAAGATAATGAATTTATTATTCATCAAAAGAAATTTGCACAATTAAATTTAAGAGAATTACTTCAAATTTCACCTAATCATTTTCCTTTTACAAATACTTATGATCAAGCAATGACTCTCTTAAATATGATAGAAAAATCAACAAATGCTTCTTCAATGTTAAATAGACTTGTAGATGTTCAACAAGAAATTAATCATTCATTAGAAATAGTTTATGGAGAAGTACCTACTTCTTTTGATGCAGATGCATTATTATCAATACTTCAATTTTTATTAATTCGTTCTAAAATTCAACATCCATTTTCAATTATTAAATTTATTGAGTCTCATTTCACAAGTAAAGATTATTCTACTCAATATGGTTTTTCATTAACTACTTTTACAATTGCAGCAGAAAGTATTTTACAAATTACTGGAAATGCTGATCCTCGTTCTACAGTTTTAAATGATAGTCCATTATTAAATACTAAAATTACTTCTTGTTTGTTATTTATTATTTAATTTTATTTCTATTTTATTTCTATTAAATAAGTAATTTATTTATTATAGTTACTCCTTCTCCTAAACTTTCATTACCACTTCATTTTATGGTTGCAAGTGGTATGGTTGATAGTCAAATGGTAATGAAATATTTTTAATTTAAAACATTTTTTTAAATTCATTTGAATAAATTAAATTAAAATTACTCAAAAGAAAATAGCACCCATAAGAACTGATGATAATGGAATAAAAACATTATCATAATTTGGATAACAATAAAATTCTACTATTGCTCCTACAAATCCTCCTATTAATGATTCAATAATATAAAAATTATTAAAAAGCATCCAACACATAAACATTGCTCCAAGTGATCCACATACCATTACTGCAATTGCTCCTTCAAGTGTTTTTGTTTTTCCCCATGGATTTTTAAGTTGAGTTTTTCCTATCATTTTACCAATTATTTCAGCCATTCCATCACCAGTTAACATAATCATCATTCCAATAATAGATGCTGGATAATTTCTCCAATATAAAAGAGATAAAAATGACATAATACAACAATAGTTCAATGGTCCATATAACATTTCTTTATAATCACCATTTCTACATACTGTTGCAATTAAAAAATCAGCAATAACTCCTTTAATCCATCCCATTCCAAATATTAAAAATACTATTGCATATAATATACAACACATAGATCCCCAAATTCTTGCTGTTGGTTCTTCTGGATAATATTTCCAAAATAATAATTGGAAAAATCCAAGAGAAATATGAACACATTTTCTAGAAGTATAACTAGTTATAATATTAGTTTTACTTAATATTGTAGCAATCATTAGACAGACATTTACTGCAATAAGAGAAGTAAAGAAGAGAGTTATACTTGACATAATTAAATGTATTTTAATGATTATTTAGTCTCTTTAGATTCTCTCAAATACACTCCCCACGTATTCAAACAATTATTAAAACCCTTCTTTTATTAAAACAAAATAATCAAGTTAGTTTCGAAATTAATACTTTCATATTACAGATTCTAATAGTTAAATGAAAAAGATACTTTTGATAATTTTTTCAAATAATCCAAAAATACAAAACCATTTTTATACTTACCAAAACCATTTTTCCAAAAATGAAGAAAAAAAGGAAAAAAAAAAGAAAAAAAGGAAAAAAAAAAAGAAAAAAAGGAAAGAAACAATCAAACCAATTACATCTTTTTTTTTTTTTACTTTATTTTCACAAACAATCATTTTTCAAAAGTATCTTGAAGAAGATTTGTTAAGTGTCTGAAAGTAGCAATATTTTTTTCTTTAAATTTTTCAATAAAAGAAAGTACTGAAGGAGTATTTTTTTGATTATCAAGTAATGATAATACTTTTAATTGAGAATATTGTAAATTTAATTCAAAAAATGAATTTTGAGCAATTAAATCATGAATATTGTGATAAATAAAAACACTGATATAATAAACTGAATTTTTATCTTCAAAAGTAAAATCATAAATATGTTGTACATTCTCTTTATTTAAAGTTGAACAACAAAAACTAATTAATGGTTCCATATAACTTAAATGAGATAATAACATTTGTTTTTTAGACATAAATGATATTAAATGTTTTGCATGAATTAAATTACCACTATTAAATGGATCACTAAATCTAATATTAAAATATGTTGTTAAAATATCAATTCTTGGTGTTTGAATTAATTCTGCATTTGTTATATTACCAATTGTAAGTGTTAATGGAATTTTAATAAATAAATCAGCTCTAAAATAAAATCGATGATTTCTTCCTTCAATATCTTTAGAAAGTAATGATGGTGAAACATAATCAATAATTATTATAAGATGAATTAAGTTAAGTATTAATTTTAAATATTTTTCAATTTCATTAATAGTGAATTTTTTAGGAATTAAATTTAATGTTGTTATTATTACATCATTTGGAAATCCTTTTTTATTATGAATATCTTCTGTTAAATAAGTAAATTGAACACAATTAGTTGTTATTAATGTTTCAAATGAAAATAATATGATTGATGTCTCTTTTGATATTTGATGAGTTTCGGGATTAATAAAAAGAGTTATTGATGAAAGGTCAGATATAGTTAATAAAATACAAGATCTATTAATTGATTTAAGAAGTTTAATAATAATATCAAAATATTGTACAAATGTATTTATTACAAATAATGTTTGATGAATTTCTTTTAAATTAAATATTTTTATTGAAGTTATCTCTTTTGTTCCTGTAAATTCAAAATGAACAAATGAAGATAAATATTGATATTGTTCATTAAAATGAATATTAAATTGAATAGTATCAAATAAAGAAGATGTAAATTCTATTTCATACCCATCAAAGAAAAGAGTTTTTTCATTAAAGTATAATAATTTTGAGAAAACATTTTTTAAGAATAGAGTTAAATGAATAAATTGTATAACTCTAATAAATAATAATTGAACATCTTTTTCAACATTTTCTTTTTTAAATGAGAATTTAAATTTTTTAGAATCCATAATAAAAGAAGTACCTAAAGAAGGTTTAAACTTATCAATAAAATGATCAATCCAACCATTTAAATCAACGAAGATATAAAAATATAAATCATCAGAAGATTGTTCTAAAGAAATAGCAAAAGGAGAATATTTAGTAATAATAAAATAACACAAATTTTTATTTTTTAAAGGATTTATAAGAATTGAACATAAAGGAGGTTTAAATTGATTTGAGAATTCTTCTTTAAAGAAATCAAGATAAATAGAAGAATAATATTTTGAATAAGATTCTTGACAAAATTTCATTATTTTTTCAATAGAAGAAAAAGAAGTAGATGAATTAAATACTTCTTTTGAACAAGAACAATAATTAACTTGTTTATTTCTAAATCCAACACAAATTAAATTTTCTTCAG